GTTCCTTACAAGCCCTACAATCAGGGCAAGCCACCCGTGTGCATCTTGTTCTCTCTGCCTGAAACAATCCTTCCCTTGGATAACTTCTCATCCTTGAGATCGCTGCTCCTAATTAAATTCAGATTCAGACTACAAGGATGTCAGATTCTCAGGAGGACTCGTGCTATCTCTACAGAAGTGATAACGTAGAAAGTTTCTAACATAATTGATAGAACCCCAAAGTCACACAAAAAAAAATAATGTGGAGAATAAAAGAGAAAAAGATATGGTGTAGACTCCCCTCCTCTGTGGATTCAAGAAGAAAAGATGAGAGGAATCCATTTACTTGTCTATATAGAATATGCACTAGTTAAATGATAATTATTAAACTGTAGCTTCATACTTATTAATGAAATCAGAGCCCAAATGACCATTTGGGGGATGATTCAAGACGAAGTTATTTTTCAGTGAAGGGCAATAAGGATGAGAAGTTAGGAAAAGTCATTCTTGCTCTATTTTTCTTTCCCTGGTCATGAAAAGAAAGGAATTGAAATTCAGTAGAAAGTGTTCCATGTGGTCCATATCTGCTGCATAATATATGACAAGTGGATGTGAGTGATGAGGCCCCTCAGAGACACTGGTGACATCATCAGTCTCACTTCAGACCTGGTCCCAAGACATGTGATGCTGAAGAGGCTGTGGGGAGTGGCAGGCTGCAGTCCTGACGTTTGTCATCCGTAGCCATCAAGTCTAACTTAATGCTATGGCTTAGAAGTTGGGACTTGTACTTTCTCAGCCTGGTGGACACTTCCCCTCCCAACACCCAGTGGCTTCATAAAATGTAAAGTCTAGGAATGCCGGGAGCCGGGGCAGGGGCAGGGGCAGGGAAGCCCCATCCACCATATTGCGCTGCAGCCACCAGAGACATAGTGATTTTTCAGAACCTAAACATGGGTGTATATTTTGAAAATGTTGGTTCTTGTATATGAGCGCTTTGGAATCAGAAAGACCTGGGCTACAATCCCATGTCAAGTCTCTTCCATGAGTTACGCAGCTCTAGGGCAGGCGCTCAGCTTCTGGGAAGCTCAGTACCTCATCTGAAAAAGAAGGATAACAGTAACTGCCTCTCAGGGTTGTCGATAACGGAAGTGAAAAGCAGGACCTAAGATTATGCACATCGTATAAAGAATATCCCACAGATGCTAGCTCCCTTTCCAGGTTCCTACCCACTTCACCAACAAGAAATGGCGTCAGTGGGCTTTAGAGGCACGAGGAGCTAACTTCTTATCTTTGTTCTGCCCTTGACTTGGGTGACTTCAGGCAAGAAACTTAGCAGCTCTGCGCCCAAGTTGCCTCATTGGTAAAATGGAAATATGAATGGTACTTACTTGACTTAGTCCATTCATTTATAAAGTATTTGTTGAATGCTTTCTATGTCCCAAGAACTGTTCTAGCTGCTGGAAATACAACAGTGAACTACACCAAGTCCCTGTCCTCTTGGAGCTTACACACTAGCAGGGCAGACAGAGTCAAGTATAGTGCCCTGCAAAATAGTGAGCCCAGTGCTTGACACGTCGTGTTTAATGAAGGTCAGGTTTACTACATATTTCTTTTTTACAAGTGCAGGGAAATAGGGTTGATTTTCTTTTTAAAAGTTCAGCGAACTGAGCAGCATCAATAGATCCCAGTAAACAGAATCACAGAACTGGGAGGGGCTCAGGGTTGATCTTGCCCTAAAATCCCAGAATCACCCAGTCTGGAATTCGCTTGGCCCTGTGTTTTTCAAAATGGGATTCTTTTGGCGGGGGGGTGGGAATGAAGAAGGAAACCAACCAGATCAGATAAGTAGGGTTCCCCAGGAAAAGGATTTATAATTTAATCATTAACTTAACACCCACTTTGTGCAGACCATGAACCTGCAGCTCAGGATGGGGACACCCCCCAAATCTCCCTGACAGCAGTGGCAGAACAGGGATTGCCAAATGGAGAGACCCCTTCAATCATGCCATCCTTGCCTCCCTAAGTAATTCAATCAGGATTGGATGTTGAGCACCTCTTATTTGAGGGGTTCCCTGGGGGATTTAAGGATAACTGTCCTTCATCCCTGACCTCTAGAAGCTTCAGATCAAGTTGGGGAGAAAGAGCCCTAAGCTATTAACTATAAATTCATGCAAAAGCTCCAAGCTACATCCCCAAAGGGGGGGGGGTCTCTCCTGAGCCCCAGACCTTCACACCCATCTGCATCCAGACTATACCCAACCAGGAAGCCCTAGACTCCTCAAATTCAGCATATCCAAACTTCCAATCTGTGGCCAGCAGTCTCTGCGATGGTCCCCGTGACCCTCGCCTCCTGGCACTTGAGCCTTGTGTAATCCCCCTCGTACACTGGGGTGTGGGCTGCACTAAGGACTTGTTTCTAACAGAGAGAATGGGGCAGAGATGATAGAATCACACTTCCAATGTTAGGCTCTCAGAGGACTGTGGCTTCCATCTCGGGGTGCTTTCTTTTACTTTCTCAGTCGCTCACTCTGAGGGGAGCCACCTGCCAGGTAGTGAGCCAGCCTTTGGAGAGCCCAGGTAGCAAAGGAACTAATTTCTCCAGCCAAGAGCCATGTGAGTGAGCTTGGAGGAGGATCTTCCCCAATCAGATGAGGCTGGGAGATGGCTGCAGCCCTGGCCAATTACAGCCTGGCCAGAGCTTCTGAGCCAGAGGCAGTCAGCTTAGCCTAGATATCCAACCCACAGAAGCTGAGAGAAAGGGATGTTCTTAGCTGTTTGAAGCAGCTAAGTTT